TAACATTCGTGCATCTTACCATGGCCACTACTCCAATAACCAAGACCCTCTCGTGCTTTGATTATGTGAGTAAAGCTTGATTGTGTGCAGATGATGAGTCTAACACACATTAATGATCAGGTAAATGGACTATTATGTAAAGTTATTTCTGCACCTAACCTGATAATTGGTTTAGAGAATTATAATTACTGCCCCTTCTTAGCATATGTTAGCATATGAAAAGGGTGTTTGTTCAGCCAGCCTTGTAGGCAAATACATTTGAAAAATTAACATAGTAAGACAATTTGTCCCTTTGAAAGGGTGAGCCATCCTCATTTTGATTTGCTAGCCAAACAATTAAAATAGAAGCTATTAAGATATATAACAAATGCATTAGGCAAAATCTTTAGAAAACACAACCTGCTTAACTGTATTAATGACGTTCTAAAGTACCAATATCATTTATGAGAGGAGGGAAAGTTAAGATTAAGAGAATATGATACTGTCAAAGTCCAAACCTCATTCCTTGTTATTCATTAAGTTTTCCCCTTTTTAAGGGGCACTCTTAAAAACGCAGATTTGGTAATTCAACAATTATTTATACATAGTACCCTTTCTTTTCCTGTTTTATTATATATATGGTAAATATTAAAATGTTTCATCATAAATTTACTTTCAAACGAACCATCAAGATATTAGACTAAACTAATTGTTCTTTAGTATCTTAAAATTGCCTTAACTACATTTAAATATGGTCTACCATTTCTCCTCTTGTTTTTAACAAGGGAAGCTAATTCAATTATTAGTTAACACACATATGTTCAAATCTTGGGGTTATGCAAGTGAAGTAGAATATTTAATGGAATCATTGATCAATATACTCCAAGAGACTATATTAGTGCATATATATGCTTAGTGGTCACCTGTTCAAAACAGTTATTCTACAAGATTTTTATTTACATTCACTAATATAGGAAACAGACTTAAACTTACAGGATAGTGGGACGATATCGTTATTTAAGAATGCATTCACATGAAGAAAATTTTCCCCTTATCACAGGGAAAGCATCATCAATGCCATTCAAATCAGTCACCTAAGTAATTCAGGACGAAGCAAGGTTGGCTATTTGCCAGAGGTGTCTGTGAGCAGGCACGTATTTGCAGAAGGATATATGCACAGGTGCCGCTAGGTCTGAGCGCACGTAACTGGGATGCTCCTGAGATACATTTAACAACACATACACCTTCCAGGGATGCTTCTGAGATAGGTTAGATGTATAATGACAATACATACACCTTCCAGCAAGTTCGCAGGGGCTGTCCTCGAACCAGTCAAATCACGTATGAGAAATTCTGTCCAGTCCGTGTACTTCTCTTTGATTGCTGGCAAGACACAAGGGAGAAAAAAACACTTCAACACAGCAGCGAAGTATCAGATGAGCTTAAAACCATAGGAGTTTTCTGTAGGTAGGTATTATTTCGATATTTTTAATTTTAAGCACCATATTTAAGTAAACACTGAAATTGAGACATCAAATCTGCCAACAAGTAGTGACTTCACACCTACCATGCACCTAGGCAGCAAGGAGGTTAAAGACTCTGAAGTCCTGAAGTCTTACAACCTATTCACAAACTTCCTACAAACAGCAAAGAAGATATTATAAAGTGTGTGATCCAGGAAGTCCAAGAAGAAACAGACCAATGAGGCTGGAGGGCCCAGAGCAAAGTATTCCAGCTGGAAAAATAAAACCAGGCCCTGAAGTACAGAAAATGTTTCCACAGGTACAGAAGGAGGGATCTGCGGACTAAGAAATTGGCGGATGCTAATGAGAAGGGTGGAGTGAAGGAGAAACGAGAAAAGTACAATTGTCCCTCTGTATCCCCAAGTTCAACCAACCGAAGATCAAAACTATTTGGGAAAAACAACAGTGTCTGCACTGAACAAGTGCAAACTTTTTTTTCTTGTCATTATTCCCTAAACAATACAGAGTAACAACTATGTATGCAGCATTTATATTGTATTAGGCATTGTAATTAATCTAGAGATGATTTAAAGTATACGGGAGGATGCGCATAGGTTCTGTGCAAATTCCATTTTATACCATGAACTTGGGTATCTGTAGATTTTGGTATCTGTGGGGGGGTCCTGGAACCAACCCCTCATGAATACAGAGGGACGACTGCACCGTATTCAGCCAGATCAAGGCTCGCTCGGAGCACACAGCACTGGGAAACAACGCTGAGTGACAGGAACAAAACTATGGGCGGCCCAGGAAGTCAACACAGACACCGAATAAACAGGAGATCTCTGCATCAAATGAACCTGGCTATAGTATAAAGGTTTGAATGGAAACAAAAGATTCTAAAAGCAGGGAAACTGGGGCTGCTGCAGTTATCCAAGTACATAAAAGATAGGGCCCAAAATAGGGGTGTCAGTGCTGTGAACAAGGAAGGAACATACTTGAGACGTCTTTTGAAAAAGAAGTATCAGACCCGGGATGCCAACATTCCACAAGTGCTCAGAAAGCAGGCCCTGAGAAAAACCTACCTTTGGTGGTACCCACGTCCCTGAGGGGCCTACGCCTTCCCAGGGCACCAAGGAATTTGCAAAGCCAGCAAAGGCGAGAGCAAGACACTTGCCCCAGAATCCCACCATCGCACACTGGGACTCTGACCTCACAGCACAGGGAGAGCCGGCAGCCTGGGATGCACGTGGTACTTAACTTAGCCTTTGATAAAGGACCATTATTTAGGGTCTTCAAAGGCTTGATGCCACCCTTTCTAGCCCAAACGTAAAGGCACAGAGTTATGGCAAAGGGAAGCTGGCCGTAAGGGCGTGGGGCAGATCCAGGCTCCAGCGTATGTTCTGCCATCGCTGGGTGCGTGACTTGGGGTAATTCACTCAATTTCTCTTAGACTCCTTCCTCATCCATAAAAGGTGCTGACAATATTTTGTTTACAGGAGTGTTCTACAGACTAAAGAAAAAACATGCATATAAAATATAACCATCCCTGGCACACACACTAAGCCACTAATAATATTAGCCCTTGTGTTGTTATAGGTACATGCTAAATTATTACATATATTTATGTAACCCTACGGTTATTTTATAATATTTATTCCCACAATTTCCAAATTGAAATCTCCAACAAGCTTTAGCAGAACCGCCAATAGAACGGAGACCAGTGGCAGCACCTGATACTTCAGTTACGAACATGCACCACAGTTGACATCCACCCAACACCCAAGAATGACCATGAGACCAAGAGAAAAACCAACATGGGAGGTACTCGGGTAAACTAGGTCGGAACGCTGAGCTTCACCTTGCATAGCAATGTCCTGCCCTTACCACACTTGAATCAAAGAACAATTCATCTGTTCATCCGATTTTATCACTGGAATTTTTTTTCTCAAATAAAATACCACCTTCCTTATTTTATACATGCATACTCATATGGAAGAAAAAATATTTGGGGCAAAAAAAAACTGTCTTCTTGTGCCCTTGTCCATTGTTAGAAAATGTAGTAATCATTTTTAAATGCTGTAGCCTTTTTTAAGTTGGCCCTTCTGTGTGGCTAAGGTTACCGAGACCAAAAGCAAACAGAAACTGGATAAATAGATTAAAATTTGTATTCACCTTATGCTTTACAAAGACCTTTCATTTACTTTATCCGTTTTGATCCTCCTAACAGTGCTACGAGCTTTTGGTCTTAATTAACTCTTGCCCAAGTTCATAGAAAAAAACTTAGGGCCAGAGCCAGCTCAAATCCCCAAGCGTTCAGACCCCAATCTTACACGGGAGATTTTCTACCAGAATCTCTGATTCTCCTAAGCTTTTGTAAACAGATAAGTCAGTAATCTAAACTGTAGGCACGATGGAGATAATATGAAATGACTATCTAACGAAGGTTCCCAGAAAATATACAATTGTACCCTAGATATGCATTTCATATCTCATTACAAAAGAATGACAATTATAAACAATGATAAATGGTCCTATGCTTAAGAGAAGTGATGTCTCTATCTGCTGTGAGAAAAAAATTGATTTTCCACTTAAGGGTTGTTTCTAACAAGCATGCAATCCAAGCTAACATTGAAGTCAAAATTTCTAAAATACATAAGCCCCCTATGAAGTCACTGCACGATGCTAAAATTTAAATTGTCAGAGTCATAGCGAGAGAGCACTAGAAATGGCTCTCAACTTTACATCTTGCGAGCCCCAGGTTCCAGAAGTCCTATAACTTTCCCGTAATATGTTTCTGTCCAAGACTCTGAAGCGATCTTTTATGAGCCACAGAGTATCTAAATGAACTGCTCTCCACGGAAAACGTATCTACAAAGCTATGAAGGTACATAAACCATTGCAGGTTAAAAAATAGAAAGGAAACATTTCTCAGGAATTTTGCTAATTTTAAAAGAAAAAAAAGTGCTTCAGTCAACACTTAGTTCTCAAAGCTCTGAATTTTTAAATATACAATAAACCTATTACAATAAACAATGCCATAAAATAAAAACGAAGTATAACAAATTTACAGTTCCCCGTCAATGGATTTATTTTAACCAATCATCAATTTGCTTAAGCTCTGGTATAGTAAACGTTGCCTTGCAATTCCTTAGAATTCGTTCCCATGGAAGCGGACGAGCACTGCTTTTCGTGTATTCACTGAAACTTCTAACTTTCAAAATCATGAATTTTTATTCTGTAGAACACCTCTCTTCAAAGACTCAAAATGAAAGGAGTGTGGACGCAAGCACAGTCTCTCTCGCCTGTACACCAAATCCTTGCCCTGATTATTATCACAGCTTTTTTCTTCAAATTGAAGGACAGATCCTCACACTAAATGTCAGAAAACTCGCAAGCTGCCCCGTGCCCGATGACAACACCAAAGGTGACTGCGATGGCAGGAAAGTGACTGGGGGGAAATCTGCAATGTCGAGTGGAGGAGCTTTTATCCACGACCTAGCAACCACTGAGCCATGTTTTCAACGTGCAGAGACAAACGCCTGGAAACCCACAAGAGCCATAAGACCGTCATCTTTTTACCACCTTTTCATGATGGTGTTTCAAGGTTCTATTCGGTTACGATGTTCTATAAACATTCAACTACACCTTTTTAAGAATCCAAGTTGCATCCCACTAACGCCCCTCTGTGGGGAGACGCCCACATCGTACTGAAGGAAGGATCGCGAACTTGAGTTTCAGAAAAAGAAAACACACACACACACACACACACACACACACACACACACGCACTTCTTGAGAGGACATTTAGAGATGGCCACAACAGCTTTCTTAGAAAGCTATAAAAAGAACCCCAGATAAAAGGCAGAAGGTGACCATCATTTTTTCAGAATTTGGGAAAACACCACCAACGCTGGATTTCGTGCCCGGTCAAGTCCAGGTCCACACAGAGTGTGATGATGTGTCGTCTCTCAGGGACGTGTCCCGTGGAGACTGGTCTGGGGGTACCAGTGGGTACCCTCCTCCATCAGGGCTGCCCATTCAGGCACATCGTGATCAAGAGATCCGAGCTGGGGTCAGGAGGACAAATGCTGTCAGCCCACGACCCTCAGCACCTCCCACGTTGTAGCCGAAGAAATCTCTAACCTCGACGCCTGGCTTCATGTCCTCTGTGACTTGGTCCCCACCTCTCCACTGTTATGCTCTTCGCTCTCTACACTGAATTTCTAAGATCTGCTCTTCAGACAGGTGCATTATGGGCTTTGCCCATCATCTTCCTTCTGCACAGAAACAATCCCCAGCTCTCCCCAGCCCACACTTCCTCAGCTCGGTCCTCACTCCCCACCGCTGTTCCCTGGGCCACGAGACACTGCTCTTCCTCCCACAGCCCCACACTTTTCCTCTTCATAGAGGTAACATCATTGACAATTACAAGTTTGTGTTCATTTGTCTATGGTCTACCACGCCAGGGGACTAGGGACCACCCACGTCCCCGCGTCCACAGCCACACCCCCAACAACTGAACAACTGGCACACGGGAGGCCGTTAATGAACTTCTGTCGCTGAAAAGGAAGGACTGACAGATCAGAGGGTTTTATAAACTGTTTCTGTTTTACTAATCTTTTGATGAAACAGAATTTGTTGAATTCAGATTAAGAGCCACTGTTACCATAAATATTCATGACAAAGATCTTTCATTAAAATACAATTTAATTCAATGGCACTGCCAAAAGCATTCACAAATGTACGGCCATTTTTGTTTCTTTTTTGTATTTGCCTACTTTGTAACTGCTTGCATAAGAGGTAAGTTACCATTTACAATTTTAGTTTCGGCATATATGACCTAGAATGCCAGCAACGAGTCCATTTAACTGATTTGGCACTTAATATCTTATCAGGTAGGGACAAACATTAAATATT